TCTCGATTGCCTAGTCATGTTAAGCAGATACTCTGTGCATCATCCAGAATGGAAGACATGACGCTCAATCAATTGTTGACCAGACCCCGTGCTATCATGATCGACGAAAAAGAGGCTGATGAACCAGTGGCCGCAGTCGTTCAACCAATTGAAGACAAAGAAGGTCCAACCCCAGCCATCTGTCACCATGGCGATGTCACCTGCTATCGATGCTCTGGGCCGAATCATTTTGCCAGAGACTACCGCTATCAATGTGAAGAAATGCGCAGCGGGTCAGCGCAAAAGGCACGTCTCGATCTACGATGCTTCCAATGTCATAAAGTAGGTCATATTGCCTCTAAGTGTCTGGGAAATGGAATGGGGGGATGCGACGTCAGCGCCAGTCTCTTCCCCGCACTGAGCATGAAAGAGCATGTGATTAAGGTGCGCATCAATGGAATAACTGCTTGGGCTGCTCTCGGTCACTCATGAACAGTTTGATTGTCGACAGTGGAGCAGACAAAAGATGGACGTACTAACGGCCAATGGAAAGACTCATCAGCTGGGGAGTTGGAAACATCAAACTCAGTATCAACAACGGTGACCCCGTCACAGTCAGTGTGTTGGTCGTGGACAGCGTGTTATTAGGTTTCGATCTGCTCCTTGGGATGGACATTATTAAGGAGCTGGGCGGCGTATGCATTACAGAGGCGGGCGAAGTCAAGTTTTCTGATCCGCCCATCTGTGCTACTTTGAAGATCAACGAACCAGACTTTAGCACAGTTCAAACAAAGGTCGAAGACATGGACAGCATTTTGGAAATGGTCGTCAAAAAAATACCAGAAAAGCTCCAGAACCGAGTGTCAGAGTATTCGGTGCCCGAACGCGTCAAGGAAGAATACCAGCACGAATTGCAGGTGTGGCTGAACAATGGATGGCTGACTCCGTATCCCAAGGAAGAGCTTAGTCCTCCAAGAGGCCTCATCCCGTTGATGGCCGTGGTACAGAAGAACAAGGGAAAGGTGCGCCCTGTACTAGATTATAGAGAACTGAACGAACATGTAGACACATACACGGCTCATGCTGATGTGTGTGCACAAAAATTGAGAGAATGGCGAATGAAAGGATCCAATGTCTCTGTGATCTTTGAAAGGCCTACTTGCAGGTACGCATGCACCGGTCACTGTGGCCATTTCAGACGGTGATCCTTAATGGGAGGAGATACTGCTTAACTCGAATGGGATTTGGACTCAGTGTGGTGCCAGCCATCATGAAAGCCATCGTGGATGCTGTGCTATCCAAGGATGAGACAATTCGTCAAGCGACGTCAGCTTACATTGATGACATCTATATCAACAAAACCTTAGTGCCCGCTGCACAGATGAGAAAGCATCTTGCTGACTTTGGGCTCGAATGTAAAAATCCAGAACGACTGGAGGATGGTGCTTGTGTGCTCGGCTTGCAGGTCTGGGGGGGGAGCACAACGTGCTTTACTGGAAACGTGGAAGCGAGCTCCCGGACATTCCCAGATGCATGACGTAATGTGGAAAGCTGGTGGGACATTTTTCCATGGGCGGGTGGATCCGCATTGCAACTGCATTTATCAAACTTAGGGTGACTGCTGTCACTTCCGGCTGGGATGACACAACAAATGATGCTCCCCTTAGACACATGATAGTAGAAGTCATTACCAGGGTGCGTCAAGACGACCCCGTACGTGGTAAATGGTACGTTGACGGATGTGAATTTAATGTCTGGGTTGATGCGAGCTCCCTGGCAACAGGAGTGTCTCTCGAAGTAGGCGAAACTGTCATGGAAGATGCGTGTTGGTTGCATCCTGAGAAGGATACACAACATATCAACCTGTCGTAATTAGACGCCGTTATCAGGGGAGTAACTGCAGTCCTTCAATGGAATGCAAAGGTGTTGCATTTACTCATGGATTCCGCATGTGTGTATAAGTGGATAGCAGACACTCTTACGGGGAAGGCCAGGATACGTACAAAGGCTGCGAATGAGATGCTCATTCGAAGGCGGCTAGACACACTGGGAAAGTTGGTAAGTGAATACCACTTATCCGTAGATATACAGCTGGTCAGATCACATCAGAACAAGGCCGATACTTTAACAAGGGTACCCCAAAAATGGCTTGATGCTATTAAGAAACAGGTAGAGCCAGTAGTAACATCAGTGAACAACCGTAACTCAGATTTACTAAAATCTGTGCATTGCCAAAGCGGACATTCTGGTATAAAACGGACCCTATATTTCGTGAGGTAGATTTATCCCTCCATATCCAAAGCTGCTGTCATGGGAGTGGTCAGGGAATGCAAAGAGTGTCAGTCCATTGACCAAGCACCTGTGCAATGGCAAAAAGGACAAGTGAGTGTGAGCAAGGTGTAGCACCGTGTTGGAATGGACATCACCCATTATAACGGACATCACTATTTAACCTTAATTGACTGTGGCCCAACCCGATTCACTATTTGGTGACGTCTGCGTCAACAGGATTCCGCAAGCATCATTGACCACTTGGGGTCATTGTTCTTTGAACGTGGACCTCCGACAGAACTCCTCACTGACAACGACACTGCATTCCGCAGTGGACTATTCAAAGATTTTTTGGATTCGTGGGGAGTACACCTCAGATTTCGCTGCGCGTATGTCCCATCAGGAAATAGCATAATCAAGCGATGTCATCGGAGCATCAAAAGAATTGCTGCTAGGAAGCAGTGTTGGATAATGGAGGTGGTGTATTAGTACAATGTTACTCTGAGAGACAATAATGTATCACCCTTAACCGCGCCAGCTAACATGATTTATCAGTACAAAGTCCGACTACGAGGCATTGACGTGACGCGTCCAACTGAATGGATAAAAGAACGTGCGCCATATGACTTGGGCGATCGTGTGTGGGTAAAAGCTCCACATAGCCAGTGTACAACTCGGTACCGGGTAGGTCATGTCTCTGGAGTAAGTAACTCACACTCTGTGCTGGTTGATGGCGTACCAAGACACATAAAGGACTTGCATCGCTATGTATGTACAGATACTTCAACAAATGACACTAGCAGTGAGTACTCAGAAAGTGAACGAATAATTACCATCGGAGGTAGGACTAGCACCTCTTCAGATGGCGAAGACTCTGTGCACGAGGTTGTCAGACCAGAAGAATCCTCAGAAGAAGAATCTTCAGAACATTCTTCAGATGACAAAGACTCTGTGTATGAGGTTGTCAGATCAGAAGAATCCTCAGAACATAACACACAATCTCCTCCAACAGTCGCTCCGCTCCGGAGAAGCTTAAGAATAAAGAGGCCTGCCCATGAGTGTCACTTATGTGACAGGGGAGAGTGTAGTGAAAGAGATAATCAGTTACCCTGAAAAAAAATGTGTGTTTTGTGGGCGATCTGCCAAAGAAAAAATTACCAAAAAGTAGTTAACAAAAATCTACATCAATGACTAGAAGCTATGCTAATGTTCTTCACTCCCCTGAATGACATGACCAATCAGAAAATTCTCTCGGTGAACAGAAGTCGTTTTTCACTTATAAATTATTATTTTGAGCTTGGTCGAACGAACACGCGTTGTTGTTGATGAAAAATAAAGGTTGAATGTGTGACCCCATTTTGTCGTTTCTACGTTGTGTGTTGGACTGTTACGGCAGACTATCGAGTGAACTACGATTTGGCTACAAGTGTTGCGGCCGAGAAACAGAAGAAATCTATTGCAGTTGCTACTATCAGTTGACAGCCTTTTCTTTACTACAACACTGACCAAGGGAGCACAAGAGAGAACCCAATGTACAACCAAACTCATGACAAACCCAAATTCCCTCTTTGTAAGTTTCTCTAAATTGAACTCTGAAATGCACTTTTTTTTGTAAAAATATTTTAGGTCACTCATTGAATAAAATTATAAATCTCCCCAGACGCACACAAGCATATTAGGCTGATTAATAGATAATTTCAGTTTTTGTTTATCAATGATCCACTTTTGTTTTTTTGCTAAGAGAATCCCAAATGCCTAGCCTGCTGGCTTTTAAATGGTAGATTATGATATTTTTAACATCTTTGCTAATTCCTGAGTGTATTAGTGGATTGTTTTCCATAACAATGATAACTTTAACTTCATCATCAATGTCTGATGAATAAAACTTAAAAAAAAATAATTTTATCCTTAACTGGCACCTATGATTATTAGTAAGAATGATACATTCATCATTACAATTGTTTCCCTCCAAATAGAAACTACTTATGATGCAACCTAATACATATAAGCCATTTGTTGATTTTATGCAATATACATAGTGGTTGAGGGTTTTGTTCTTCATGTAATGACAAAAGGGAAGAAACTTAGCCTATGTAGAAGGCAGGCTCAAGGTAAAATAGCTAACAGAGTAGGGCATGAATGAAAACAAAAGTATTGTATCTAAATCTTTATAACAGAGATTGTATGGTAAGTGAGTTTTCTCATTATTTTGGGTGTAGCTTTGCCCCCAAAAAATGAAGATCCTTTATTTTCTATAAAATATGTCCAGGATGATTCCCATTAGTACAATATTTGATTACAATAGGCCTACTAGTATTCCCTGGAAGCTATGGTTACATTATACACAAGCTATATGGAAAAATCAGGTTTTTCACAATGAAACTGAAATGAACATTTGTGTCATGAATGCAAATTTCTCAGTCTGGTTTGGATAACAATAAAAGAGTACAAGACAAAATGTGCAGCCATTTGGAGTCATTTTCATGATGACTCTTGCATTTAAACTGAATATATTTTCTAATAAATGTATTTTAAATATGTAAACAATTTAGATTTGAAATTTGATCTCTTTGTCAGTGAAGTGATTGGTACCAAACTAGTACTTTATGAACACAAAGGACCATCTTAAAACCCATATTATAAGAAACTTTTGTTAGTATCACTACTTAGTTACAATTCATTATGGTAATAACTATAACCAAATAGTCTTTCTTCTTCAGCTTGTTAAAGAATAAAGTTTAGTAACTTACCAATGATGACATGCATACCAAGCTCACAGAGAGTTTTGGTTACATGGAAACCAATACCTGACGATCCACCAGTAACAATGGCAACTCTGCCATGTTGAGGAGGCAAAGCTAAAAAAGAAAAAGAAAAGAAAATATAATGTATTCTGCGACATCAGAAGTAGGATTTATTTATTTAAAAAACAGTATCTTCATTTACTTTAAATGTAGAAAGGATGCTACAAGATTGTATGACGATAAACTACATCTGGCAGCAAGGCCTCTGATGAAGAGATTGGAGGTTTTAAGTAGCTGTTGAGGAGGTTTTTAGTTGCTGTTTCCAGCTTCACACTGACCCAGAGTGGTAGCACCTGTTAGGGTCCCAGATAGAGTCAAATAGTCAACACAGACAAAACACTGTGAAAGTAAGAAAATACATTTTTATAGTATAATTACAAACAATTCCTGTTTAAAGTAAAATGATCAGCAATACATTTTATCTGTAGTTGAAGGCATGTAATTGCATTCAAAATATTTAGATTTCATCATTAGATGACCCATAGGGGTTGATATGCTACTAAATGAAATCAACCAAACAACTAACATGAAAGAATTCTTTTATGACATTAATCCATATAATATTCTACAATTTCTTAAAGAATTCAATCTGTATTCCAAAATATAATAACTTCAACAAAGTTATGACATAAAACAGATATTACCACCTTAAGTAATCATATCCACAGAACATGCATATGCACAAAAGCTGAGTATCATCTATCATGTAGTCAGTTGTGAAAGCAGAATAACATATATAATTTTTTATTACTTCAAAGCTCCCAAGAAAATTAAATTTCAGTATTAAATGACCCATAAAGAGTTGATATGTCATTGAACAAACAAACAAAACAAAAAATTGGGGGAGGGCGTTGATTTTGCAGTCATTCCTATACCAAATGGAAGCAACAAAATTCCAAACATTGAGGAATTTTATGTATAGATTTTCATGTAAAGAATAATGCAACTCAAGAAAAAAGCAAAAATCTACTTGTGTGTACAAAGCTGAAAAAAGGCAGACAAAACATTTATAGGTTTTGCTGTTAGAAAATGTGTCTTTGTGTGTGATGTGCCACATGGCTGGCTGAAATTAAGAGAATGGCCTGCCAGATTAAAAAAAATATCCTCTAGTATAGAGAAGTTCTATTGTTTTCACTACTACTAATTTTTAATTATATATATATATATATATATATATATATATATATATATATATATATATATATATTGTCTGCAAAACACCTGCTAGGTGGCACTGTGAACAGCGCCACCTAGCAGGTGTTTTGGCAGACAAGGTAACAGATTGACTGATTTGATTTTTTATGGCTTATCAACCTTTTCCAAGTTATTTAATGCTGAAACAAGTCTTGGAATTGTAATATATATATATATATATATATATATATATATATATATAAAACAATATATACATTTTAACATATCAAGAACAATTTTTGGGGAAAGGTTTTCATACAACATTGACTGACGTAAACATAAACTTAGTCTGTTGAAGTCCTAAAATATTTTTTTGGGGGGTAATAACAATTTTCTAATACAAGTCCTGCTATTTAACCCATAGCAAGGGGAAGAAGAGGTAGGTTCATATCTTTCCCAAGTAAATATAACAATCCTGACCAGATTTTGAACTCCAGTCTTCAATTTCTCATTCCAAGGTGTTATCAACTACACCACCCACACACCCAAGCTTGCAGCACCTGGTATTCCTAAGAGATCATCTATCTAGGTACAGACCAGTCTCAACATTGCTTAACTTTGATCACATGAGAATTGATGTTTCAAGGTGATATAGCCCAAGACTGACAAGGAAGGAGCAAGACCCATATTATTACAAAGATGAAACCAAGATTGTGATGGTATTTTAGCATTTATTGAATTTGAGCATCTTTAAATGTGTTCTAGTTTTTCTTATTGTTACCCACTGATTTTACCATTACTCCTTCACCTTTCTGTTTCTGGTAGTAGGGAAAAAATTAGATACTGAAATGTGCACTTCTTAATTTACTTTGATTTTGTCCGTTTCAATCTGTACATTGAAAATCAGGAAGAAAGAGAATGTCAGTAGTCAGAGATTAACATCCAGTGTTTGCAAAGAAACCCTTTAAAAATCTGTATAAATTAAGATTTGATAAAACAAATTAGATTCAAATTATACTCTATTAGAACATATTCTATTAATTAATCAGTTTCAGACAAAATAAAAAACACTTTTTATTGAAAATTTTAAATAAGATACAATATCCCTGCCAGGTGGATACCAACTTAAAATAAAATTTAATTAACTTATAATTTATAGAGAAAGTTAAAAATTATCCAGCATTTAAAACATCAAACTGGCAAAGTTTCAACTTTTATGTTTGTATAGTTATGAAATTATTAGAAAATTTAAAATTTTTAAGTAACACATTCAAACAGAGCTGAGCATTTTTCTGCTAAATATTTACACATATTCTTTCAAATCCTGACTAAGAATGTTTCTGAGTTGTTTATTCATGGCCATATAATGATGGTGTGATTAAAAGATGCAGTAAAATGCAACTAAGAAATAAATGGTGCAATACTTTCTTGATAAATCCTGTATGACTTCTTGAAATGAATTTGTAGTGATTGAGAAATAAATAAATAAAAATAAATAACAAGAAGACCAAAATTTCAACATCTCTAAAAATAGATGCATAACCAGAATTGCAGGCTACAAAGCCATATTTTGATCACCCAACCAGAAAGCTTTCACAACCAGAATATAAGAAAATACTAACAAGAAATAATAACAAGAAAACCCAAATTTCACTATTTCTAAAAATAGATGTATATTTATATTTGGCATCCATGTGAACAAAGTCAGTCATAATTAAGATGTTGATGTTCCACACAACTTTAGACAAAAGATGAGGAAGGAACCCCCATCAATACTAAAAAGAGCAATAATAGTTGGCATACTTGAGAAATAGATTTTACTGAAAAATGTTTTAAGACAATTCAACATTATTTGACCAATTACAAAAAATTAATGAAAGATATGTTAGAATTGACTGGCCAGTTTTGCAATATAACACAAGAAAAAACAGAAATTTTAATACACTCCCAAAAATTAGTGTTATTTCATGAAGGGGGAGTATGGACAAAAAATTGGATCTAAACTTTGACATTGCAATGGAGGTATATGACTCTGCAGAGACCTGTGAATTGGTGGGTGTTTACTTGTTATGCCAGCAGAGCAAACTTTTAAACATTTATAACCTGTACTGAGATGATAGAATTATAGCACTAAGAAATACAAGCCACCAGGGAAATGGATATAATAATAAAAGTAATATGATGGATGTTAATGTTTTGGATGTCACACTTAATCTAAGAACAGGGTTGTTCAGACATTTTATTAAGAAACTAAATGCCCTCAGGTATGTTAGTACTGAATCCAACTATCCACCAAAAGCTTATTCAGACAATCTTTACAGGGATGACTGTATGCAAACTCCTCCAATACAGATATTTTCAATGATGAAGCCATAGCATTTCAAAAGGCATTAAATGTGAGTAAACACAATGCTTGCTTAAAATTTGAGTGGGAGGGGGCATGTAGTAGTGAGAATTATGAGAAAATGAAAAAAATAATATTAACAAGAATAGAAAACGGAAAATCCCATGGTTTACAATCCTAAATATTAATGTTAAAAATAACATGGCAGAAATGTTTCTAACTTGTTAAACATTTCATCAATTCACCAAAATTGAAAAAGTTATTCAACATAAACAATTTGAAGGAAACCTGTAGTTGCACCAACTAAAGAAAAATTATAATAAACCATTATAGAAAAATAAGGGTGGGGTGTGATATCAGAGAAGCCTGCAGATGTAATTGCAGAATAAAAGAGGAATGTCCATGAAACAGAATGTGTTTAGCAAGGAATGCTGTTGGTGAGACCAAATATTATATAGGAGCCACCAAAGGCAAATGGAAAAGATGCTTTAACAACCATATAACTAAGAACACAAGTTGCTTACCTGGAAGATACAGAAAAAAGATTACTGCTGATGAGTATAAGCAAGTCCTGAGTGAGACATTATATTTTTTAATCTATTCAATGAAACATGTGAGAGTAGTGCAACAAGAGTGTAGAAAGTGGAACCAGCAAGCTGAGTTTAAATCCTAGTATAGTATATTGTGTTCACTTTCATGCAAATGCTCTTGGGAAAGACATATCTCTTCTCATCCAGATAGGGGTTAAATAGTAGAGGTAACTGGGTTTTGTAGACTTGGTTTCACTTTGTCTAAGAGAAGGAATTATTCTGAATTCCAAACCATGGGGAAGCCAATGGGAAACTACTTGATTATATTTTGCAAAAGTGCTTGGCAATTCACAGATAATAAAAAAAAGCAATCTGTGGAGAGTCAAGATCAACTATGCTCTGAAGGGACATTGCAATATAAAAAAAAAAGACTATTTCCGAAAAAAGATATGCAGTGCAGCTCAATAGCAGTGTCATAGATTGAGGCCAAGGGGATAAATTTAGTCATTTTTAGTTTTCAGTACCAGAAAAAGTAATAGATGCCCCTAAATGCCTACTAGGGGCTTTTGCAAGTATGAGATACCTCTAAGACAGTGGTTCCCAAATGGTGCAGCAGAAGAGGATAGCAGGTGAAGTAGAATGATTGAAAGATAAAAATTTAGAAACAGTTTAAAAAAAAAATCACAAGTCAAAAATAAATATGATTTCAAAATTTAAAATATTTTTATGGATTACTTGGAATTACATGCATGAGTTCCAATATAAATAGTTCTAAATTATTACTGACTGATTTTATAATTGTGATACTTTTTATATCAAGTATAAAGAATATAGTAACTAGAGTCTGCAAATTGGAAGAGAGAGTTATCAATGGCATTGTTCTGATTTCGATTCTGCAGTTATCTCCCTTTAAACCTCTACCATAGAAAAATGTTCATCAGAACAATTACTATGAAAGTATTTATAGAAAACGTACAGGTAAATTATATTACAGTGGTGAGAAAGTGACTGAAACCTAGATGCCAAGTTTAATAACATTGAGGATATTTTTTTTGTATTTTATTAAGACTCTAAATACATAGCAGAAGCACCAGACCAGATGTGGCAGCAATATTCAATATTATTCAACACTTTCAACTATCACTGGTCATTTTTGAAAATAGGTATTTACACGTTACAGTTTTGAAATTCAAGTAACCACCTCTCCTCCTATATGCTGTATAATCTCCTCAAAGATGAAGAAGAGATTTGAAGCAGAGGAAATGTGGTTCTACAGAAAGATGCTGAGAATACCATGGGTGGAACATGTGAGCAGCGACAAGGTTTTGAAGAGAATGGAAGCAAAACGGAAACTTGTACTTAACAACAGGAAAAGGCAATTGAAATTTCTGAGGCATGTAACGAGGAAAGAGGGTTTGGAAAATATGATACTCACAGGACAGATTCAGAGATAGAGGAAAGCAGTATGTAATATACTTGATGCACAGAACTTGGATTGCAGAACAGGGTTTGGGGGAAATACCAAAAAGACAAAACTTATTAAGAACTACAAAAAGGAAAATGTGGAGGACCACGATTGCCTACGTCCTGAACGGACATGGCCCATAAGAGAAGGCAAATGTTTAATGTTTAGAATGTTACAAATCATGTTGTTACAAGTCATGTTTTTATAGTATTGATGTCATTTGCAAGCCACTTAAAACACATCAAAAGTTGTTTATAATATGTAAATCAAGCTAGTGTTTATTAATTGTTTAATACATTGAAGTACACAAATTTCTTTGATGAAAGATCATAGCCTAGAAGTAAATATTTGTCTTTAATAAAAACTGTGAGGGGTGATGAAAAGTTGTTGGTTCAACTAAAAAGGGATTCTGATGTTTAGTTAAATATCTAGAAGTGTGTTTGCTTTTTGTGTGTATGTATGTATATATATATATATATATATATATATATATATATATATATGTGTGTGTGTGTGTGTGTATATATATATATGTATGTATATGTGTGTGTGTCTGTGTGTGTGTGTATATAATGTACATACAGGGTGTGATGGATAAATTGTCTAAATTATGCAAAAATAAAAATAACACTGACATCTCATTTTACCAGATATACTTACCAAAATTACAATATCTTTAAATGCTAAAGAGTAAATTTATTCAATAAAATAGCCATTGGTTTCAACCATGGCATCCAGATGACTTTGGAATCTTTAGATCTGATGTGCCTAACCACTTGCCCACATACGATTTATGGTCAAACAAAGCCTGAATAGTGCCTTTTGAACACACACTCTGCCGATTCTCAAAATATCCATATTTGCTCTGTATTGTAATATAAACACTAACATAAACAAAGACAATTTATTTTTAGGAAATAGATTAAATTCAACATATTGTTATTTTTAATTTATTGTGTTTAGATGTTTTTTTTTGACTGTAAGTCCTACATGGCTGAGTAGTTAGGCATGTCAGATCCAATGACAGTCCCCCAATAAGGATGCAGGTTCGAATCCTGCTGGAGGATGCATATTTCTCGAATATTCAGGCTGCTAGATGTAATTGAATATAAAATACTGTTTAATTAAAAAACAGAGCTTCTACTCAAATATGAGTATCTATCAAAAATAATGTTTAAACAAAATAAATTAAAAATAACAATATGTTGGATTTAATCCAATTCCCATATATATATATATATATATATATATATATATATACACACACACTAGCTTAAGAGCCACCCTATCAGGTGACATTTAAGCCAGCTTCTGTGGAGGGTTCTTGATTGGGCCTTTATCATAATAGGTAAGGAGGAGTAGATGCAATAGGCAACAATAAACTGCAGAACATTTATGTATTGTATTAATATTTAAGCTTACCTTTTAAAAGTTCAATGATAATTTGTTTGCCATCATTTAACGACAAATTGAGGTATGTATGTCTTACTTTCTGTACAATTATTTCTATTTCATGGGTGACTCTTGCTGGATTTTGCAATTAATTTTGATTATTCCCAAATTTATTTCCAACTTAGAAAAATTATTGTCCAAAAAAATTTGGCACAAAAATTCATCAAAAACAACTGCAGTAATGAAAACTTGGAAATTCAAAATTTTAGGATTGCGGGTCTGAATCCAGCCTGGAATTTTTTTTTAATTTGCCTGTGAAGTCAGCCTGATTCCAAAATGGTATGATATAGTGGGCTACAGCCTATAGAAATAAAGTTGAAAAAGTGTGAGAGAGTGACACTGACATTTGCATGCATGTATATATATATATATATATATATATATATATATATAAGCAGCTGGCGGTTGATTTATCAGGGAGGTGATGCTATTGGTCCGAGAATAATGGTACCTTTGGAAAATTCCTGAAAAATACATTTGAGGTTGACTGAAGCCTTGTGAGTGAAAGTGGGTGGATGGAAATAATTGGAAGCTGTCAGTAGTTTTGCTAGTATGAAGTCACAAGTCCTTGTAACTGACGTTTTAAATGTACTGGCCTTGTTAAAAAAAAAAAAAAAAATTAAACTAAAAAACAAAAACTGTTGATCATCCTAGATGATGATCTCTCTCTCTCTCTCTCTCTCTCTGAAACTGCAATGTCTGCTCACAGTATAAACCATTTGTGGACACTGTGGATGCTGAACAAATGCAAATGTGCCTGAGCAGAGATCTGCACAACAGGGACTGGCTAGCCAATGCCCCAAAATACAAATAGCCAGATTATATGTAAAGGATTAATACAAATATTAACTTAGCTAATTGATGTTATATTCAGCAACTTTAGAGTTTTATAGACAAATTTTTGTGTAATTGTTTGTCCACTCATCAGGAGGTATCAGCAAATACCTGTCAGTTTTGTCACATTCATTATTTTTTATATCAAGTTTAAAAAAAAAATTTTATATGCTTTGTTTATTAGTGTTAGGTTGATTTTTCTTCTTCGTTTGCATGTATAAGTGCATGTACACCTGTATGTGTGTGTTTGTGCACATATAGTGGGTAATTGGATGACAAAATGGAAAAATTCTATGATACATTTTGTACTGAATTTTTTAACCACCATTAGTCAGATATATAGAGAGTTTATATATAACATTCTCTTCTCCCCATATATATATATATATATATATATGAAAAAATGTAGTTTTATGGTATGCTATATTTATGGATATAAAGTGCTCAATATCAATGAGAGAGCATATGTAAATATAAAAGTTCACATTGAAGTCAACTCCCAGAGGTGACAATCTGTTTCATGCTAAATGCAATCCTCAGATCATGTGCATTTTCATTTGACATTTCATATATGATGATTAGTGATGCATTGTGGGTAATTTACTGGTTATTTTGGTAGTTGTGATTTGTTAATTTGCTTACTATTTACTTAGTTTATTTACTTATTTGCTTGGATTAATTTATTTTACTTGTTTTTGTTTATTTTATTTATTCTTGTTTGTTTTCAGTTTTCAATTAAGTAATGTAGCAAAATTTTTTTTTTGTGTCTGCATTTTAAGATGATTTCTGATTGTTTATTCAGTAGTTTGTTTTGGTCTGGAAAGGTAATTATAGCCATTTTTTTCCTCTAGGCATAGTTTACAGATTAATTGTTGTAGGCGGATGTTTTTTCCTTATTTTCCAAGATATTTTCAGTGGGATTTGTTTTTAATCTTCCAGATATGTTTCGAAAGCATTGCGCTGTTAGTGTATTTACTATTTGTAAAGGATGTTTTGTCTGCCTAGTTTCTTTGTTTCCAGACTCCTTAAGTTACACCTATGTATATTTTTTCTTTTGTAAATATATTTGTAAATCTCATTTGTTTTTTTCATATTTATTTCTCTTCCAACTTTCCAATATCTAATGTCTTCTCATGGCTGTGTCTCAGAAAATAAAGAAAAGTAATATTACAATCAGATAAGTGGAATGATCAATATTACACCACTGACATGTGGTAAGCCAAACTTAACAAATTAATGAAAAAAAAATAAAAAAGAAAGGAAAACAAAAGAAAAAAGAAAGCGAAAAGACGAGAAAAAAGAAAAGAAAAGAAAGAAAAGACGAGAAAAAAGAAAAGAAAAGAAAGAAAAGACGAGAAAGAAAGAAAGAAAAGACGAGAAAGAAAGAAAGAAAGAAAAGACGAGAAAAAAAGAAAGAAAGAAAAGACGAGAAAAAAAGAAAGAAAGAAAAGACGAGAAAAAAAGAAAGAAAACACGAAGAAAAAGAAAGTAAAGAAAAGAAAATAGAAGAAAAAAGAAAGAAAACACGAGAAAAAAGAAAAAACAAGAGAAAAGAGAAAAAAAGGAAAGGAAAAACTAAAAAGAAAAGGAAAGGAAAAACAAAAAAGAAAAGGAAAGGAAAAACAAAAAAGAAAAGAAAACGAGAAAGAAAAGAAAACGAGAAAGAAAAGAAAACGAGAAAGAAAAGAAAGGAAAAATTTAGGGATCAAAGCAACTGTCAGATTCAAACCCAATACACAGGGTTTTTGGTATTTACTGCTGTTCTCTTCTCTATATCCACTTTGTCGTTCATTGTACGTATAGTATGATGTCCCCCTACAGAAGACCTCTCTCATCTCCATGATGGTCTACTTGTAATGGGGAATCACCAATCATTCGCCCAGATGATAGGCATACTAGACATCCGGGCACCTCAGAATTGAGCACTAACACACCTGGATGTCCCTCGATTCTACCCAACCACACTATTATTATCTACAGGTGCTAATGAACCAATTTCTTGTAGGACAACAAAGAAGAAGGATCTCTTTTGATGGAACGACATACTCTCCTTCTCTCAAATCGAAGGCCTACATGCCAGACAAAGACGAACTCTCTTTCATCACGAATAAGGCAAGTCCTGTTCACCATTTCTGCCATTTGACTCTGGTTCTGGTTCAATATGTCTGCCACATAAACTTTTTGTACAGCAAATGAAGTCACATACAAAGTGATAAAGGTTAAAAGAAAATGATATTCAAAAGGATTGGAAGGTGCAAATTGATTTGACATGCACTACAATCAACAGACTGCATTCTACTGGATTTGTGTTTAATGATATATTATGTATTTACACATTTTATATTCAGACGATTGACCTCATCTTTGTTGTTATTATCAAAACATCTTAGCTGCTGTGTTACCTGATGATGACTGGAGAGCACAATTGCCAAAAGGTTGTAACAACAAAGATGAGAACAATAGTCTGATTATAAATTGTGTAAATAACAATAACTCTTCATCCTAGAAATTTAGAGAATTTATTATTTTTATTTATTATTTTCCCATTTGGAGAAGTATAGACATCTTGGTTGTTATACTCACAATGTTTTGCCTGATGTATTCTCTGGCCTTCTTCAGGAGTCTCTAATAAACAGCAATTTTTATTGGAATTTTGAACCCAACAGTCAGTCAATTATGTGCTATGCGTGATACATGCTGAGGCGATCATGTACCTTTCAATACATGACTGACAACGAGGTTGCCATTTCTTTCTGTGGTAGACTAGTTGCTATCCAAGGCTATAGAACCTGGTCTGTCCTGCTATTTACTCATAGCTGGGGTTGGGGAGAGAAGAGGAGGATTCATACCTTTCCCAAGGGTATTAGCATGTAAATGAATGTAATGGATTTGACTGGAATCTGAACTTGGCTCTTTGATTCCTCAATCTCTGCCACTATCCATTACTCCACTATGCCTCCCTTTGAATCAAACACTTTATTCAATACATGGAGGTCATCAGCACCCACTCGTATTAGGATTGTCATCTCCCTTTCTTTATTTCCTTTCTCCCCTCTGTTGACAGAGATGGAAGGCCCAACCTACTCCTGAAGAGTCATGAGCAGGAGTCACAGAGGAATGTGGGTGGTGGACACAGCTGGGTAAGTCAGGCCCTCTTGATAGCACATTGCAGATCCTCTTCATGTTGATGATTGGACTTGAAAGTCTTGGTATCTGCTCACATGGTCCTATTGCAGGAAGGTCGATTTGCAGCCATTGTTTCTCTGGTCTCAGGCACGATGTTGGCCTGTGTCAAGGATGTTTCAACTGATTCTTGAAGTGTCGTTTTAGGCCTCCATGTAGCCTCTTGTCACTGGTGAGTTCTCCAAACAGGATGATATGTGGGAGTCGAGTGGGATACATTTTGGGCATGTGACCTGTCCAGTGAAGGTGATGTTGAAGGATGGTAGACTCAATACAGGAGAAAGATGTTCAAGAGAGAACCTTGGTGGTGATGTAGTCTTCCCAACTGATGTGAAGGATTCTTCAGAGCTTTGTTTGCTGCAACTGTTCTTGACATTTGACATCCTGATGATACAAAGTCCAGGCCTCAAAAGTGTACATAAGGGTGGAGAGGACCACAACCCAAAGGACCAGGATTTTGGTGTTTATAGTGAGGCTGTGATTGCTGAAGACCTGAGGTGAAAGTGTTCTGTACACAGTATGAGTCACTTTGATCCTATTGTTAAGGCCACTCTCACAGGTGACAATGTTCGTGGAGGTAGTGTGTTCTCCTCCCGCTCTCCATGTCAAGGGGAGATAACTTATGTCAGTTAATTTTTCTTTTTAGCTTTTTGCTACTTGTTTGTTTCCCTCTATAGAAACAACAGAACCATAGTATTCTTTGCTAGTGAATCTATAGTGCCATTCCATAGTGTTCAAAGAAGGATGGTCTTTGCTAAGACTCTCAGGATTTACTCGCACATTGATCTTAGGAAGTTGTTGTATATAGCTAATTCCTAATCTGTCAGAACAAAATGACTATATGAGGACAGACAAGGAATTAATATAAATTAAAGTGGAGTGTGATAAAGATGTGTTTTTTTTGCTGGATATATATTTAAAATGTACAGTGAGACAATTGTAAATTAGTGAACTTATAATGGTTTATTATCAGCGATCATAACTTTAACAGTTTATAGTATGCAGATGACAGTGTGTGATGTTAACAGATTCAAAAGGAAAACTAAAAGAACTATGAGACAAAGACGTCAAAGAAAGCAAGAAGACCAAACTAAATAGTAATTTTTTAAGTCATTTTTTATGTTTATACATTCTTTTTCATAGATACAAATATTTAAGTAAATGCTCTGTTTATAATAAACAGTATTAATGACATTTACTGGCCTGAATGTCTGAGAAATTTTCATAGAAAATATGCGTCCTCTGACAGGAATCAAACCTGTATCCTATACGGAACTATCATATAGTCTGACATGCCTTAACTGATTGGGCCACAGAGGAGTGTTCGGTTAGCAAGGTTGATTTTAATGCTTTTAAACACAATTCTCCATAATTTTCTCTCATACATTCATATCTGCTCGATGCATGTCTAAATGTAAACAAATGATGTCATACATTATGAAATGGACAAAGTCTGACATTTATTTTTTAAGTCATTTTTTTATGATTTAAGTCATTTTTACAAATATTTAAATATTATTATAAACAGAGCATTTACTTAAATATTTGTATCTATAAAAAGAACGTATAAACATAAAAACATGACTTAAAAAATAATTGTTGGACTTTGTCCATTTCATAAATAGTAATTATGAGAAGACGAACCAAAATTGTAAGCAAAAAGGACAACTCATAGTGTAAATTACACATTGGGAATGACAAAAATCAAGCAGGAACTTGTGTTGGCAGATTCAAAAGAAAAACTGAAACAATTATGAAAATAATTTGTGGACAAAATAATGATGCTATGAATTTATATTAACAAAAGACTTAATCAAATAAATGTTGGGGGGGGGACTGATAAATGTTAAAGTGAATCATGCCAAAGTTGGATTAAAAAGATTTACAATAAAGGTACGTATAAATAATCTGACATCTGTATCATTGGATAAAACTGTTTTCTAATAAACAAATGCTTTTTGTGAATACACATAAATTGAAAAAGTAGTGTGACACAGAGATGCATTTTCTCACCAGTCGGTGGGGTTCAGGATTAGTATGCACAGGCTTTATCCACAGGCTTCACTCGCTCAAAGCCATTATTAACCATTGATCTTAAAAAGCAGTTGTATACAGTGAAATCCTAATCTATTAGATCAAAATGACTAATGAGAATAGACAAGGAATATAAATCAAAATAAAATAGAATCACGATAAATGGATGTGCTGCCCCGAGGAGGTGTAGAATATTGGTTGGCTTGCAAGTGGTCTGATACACAAGTGTTGGGCAGGTCCATTCCAACACACATTTGCATGAGTGGACTCTATCCACCCATATATCTCTCCATTAAATGACTCAGGGCTGCATTTTAGCTTGAAGTGACTACACCAGTCTACTTGTGCATCAGACCACTTGCAAACCAACCAATATTCTACATGGCACTGCAAACAGGATCCAATGATTGGCAGGTGCTCCTTATCAAAATTGGCATCCCAGCTGACTCTGCCAGGACTTATGCTGAAACTTTTATGAAAGAAAGCATCACCAAAGATAGCCTCTCTATGATAGTCTGGGAAATCCCCAGAGCTAGGTGTCACAACCATGGGACATGCCCTAGCCATTCTAAAACTAGCAAAGGACCAGCCTTTGACATCAGACAGCTACACGAAGGCCCCTGCAGTTAAACTACCCCCCCCCAGCTCCATTCAAAGATGACATCTCAGCAATTCCAAAATTGACTGGGAGGTATTAGTATGAATGACAAACATGCTCCCCACCCCTGCACAGACCAACATCCAGTTATACAACTGTGCTGATGAAATGGTCCAAACATCAATCATAAACACATACCCTACCCACATGCATTAGGTGCTCTCCTATAAATGTAGTAGATTAGCTGGCTTGCCTTTCAAAGGAGATACAAGAAGACAGCCATGTTAGCAGGTAAGTCATTTGACTTCTACATCTCCCTCCTCTCCCCATTGCGGAAGCATAGTGGCTGTTGAGGAGAAATCAGTTCCTCATTGCCTGGCCGACTGTATGGGACTAGCTGGGATAGCGCCCTGGGGATCCTGGTTCTTGATGGCGGTGACTGAGTAGGATATTGGGCCTCAAATTCACACTGGACCTCAAGTGGAATTCCTATATATGATCAATCACTAAAGATGCAGGTAAAAATGATCAGCTCCATGTACCGCTTCAGTAAGTACCCGACTGCTCATGCTATCCTCTACCTACATAAGAGCCAGATCAGGCTGAAAATGGACTTCTGTTGCCCAGACTTCACCTTCCAGTTTTGATAGAGTTCAGAAGCATCTCTGAGTCCTTGTTGAAGAAGAATTATTTTCCACACTCCAAACTCTCTTTCACAGGCAGGATATGCCGAGTCTCTCAATAGTCTATCGTTACTACTATGGAAAGTGCTCGGATGAACTGTATCTACCGGTTACAACCAGGTCTGGCATTCACAGCTAGGACCCACCATGCCACTTTCATTCACTTCGTATTCCATTTGCAAGAAGTCTCACTCAAATAGCTTCATTTTGTGAACC